AATTCAACAAGTGTGCATTTCGTATTTATGTTTCGAAAGATTCTCAGTGGAAACAGGGATCATTTCGGCTTCGAAGGGCTGAATGTCTCTGTGGAAAGCGTAAGACTTATTTAGACCAGGCAGAAGAAGGGCCGTGGTTTAAAGTGGGTCTGGTAACGGCGATAGCATCCGTAAGCTTTTGCCCTGCGTTTGCTGATTAACACGACCAAAAGAATTCAGACTCGATTTCTGAATAAATGAGAACTTGGTTTTATCCCGCCGTAGCGCTGTTATTCGAAACGGAAATGATGTCCTGGGTAGGTTCAAGCTCCGCCCACATTCCGAAGACTAAATTATAGGCCCAGACCCAGACGACAGAGATTCGAAGCCACGACACCTACGAACGCCGTTCATGGTCACATTTAAAAAAAAAAACAGGCGACAGAGGATAGTTGGCAGCACTGATGAATCCATCTCAAAAAAAAATTAGTGTTCGTCTTGGGGCCGAGCTGTATTATGCGGACGGACAAACAGACAGGCGTAGACATGTCAGAGTTGAGGTCTGAAAATCTTCTTAAGCTACGTGGGGGTTTCAGAGTCGAATTGTTGAATAACTTAAACCACAGTTTTTGTTTCCTTCAATCGTGCTACATGTTTACCCCATCCTTTTTGACGTAGTAATTGCCACAACAGTACACTATTAGGTGAAGCCCTTTCTTATGTCTCCTCTGTTACTTTATTTACCTCAGGCACATGTGGGCTCGTTCTCCTCAACGCCGTCTTCACGTACCGTCAATCCGTGTTCAAATTTTACACCCGCGAATTAATTTCGGGCAGGGTCTGCGTTATCATTTCCTTTTATTTCTAACTATGCCAAAATTGTGTCCATGTGTCGCTTCGCAAGGAAATTGATCTGCCAGCTTCAGAGAAGAGCGTAAGACTCACCGACGCTGGAGACAGCGAAGTTCTTCTCTCTGGAGCAGCCACACCGACATTCCAAAGTCTTTACGCCACATCAAGTCTGTTTCCCTGTTCATATTTTTGCCCCTACGTCATTCTTGCACCGATGTTGTTGTGTCTTGGGCTGTTCTTCCACAAATGTGAGCCCAAATTATTGTACCGTAACAATATCTCCCCCCCCCCCCCAAACACAACGACCTCAGATAATTTTTGCTCTAACGTTCGATTTCATTGGTTTCGGTCATGAGGCCCCAGAGTTCGCTGGCCCACGAGAGGGCGATCGGATCAATAGGTGAGGAAGGCACGTGGTGAGGTCAAAAGCGCTTACAGAGTTGTTGAAGCCTGTAACTCAGAAGGGAAGAGGTCACAGGGGCTCACATTGAAATGGATCTTCCGGAATTGTTTACTAAGTTTGCTCTCCCAACTGGACGTGGATCTTACAGGTGAAGCTGCAAGGAGACACGTCTTCTTTTTCTCAAGTTTGACCTCAAAGGGAGAGAAACAGCGACGCACGGAAGTGACGTCATAGGAAAATTTCGAACTCAGGACCTGGGCTATGCAAACAGTCGCTGTTTGTTCCTTTGTTGACTCGCTAGGAGTGACGGACGGACGGACGACCTTCTTTTGTTGTATCTGACGCGAGTTCCGTTTCCGGCGAACTCCACCCAAAAGTACGACATCTCCTTCGAAGACGTAGTCCCGCAACTTGTGTTCAGTTTTAACACTACCGGGTGCTTCACAAACTACAATACGCTCCGCGGCCCCGAAAAAGCGCATCTTCAGTTGTGTTCTGACTGACTCTGCGTTCGGTTTACGTAGTAACCAACATCCGTTAGCTGTGCAACCAGAAAATTCAGCCACAATCATCAAGAAAGTCCTACCTTGTGCCAGCTCAATCCAGTTCTCATCTGGAAATCCATTTCTAAAATGCTCGCATCTACACGTTCTTCACTGAGGTTATTGAACGTAAATTATTGTTAGCAATGTTTGTCTCCTGTGTTAATGTTATGTGTAACTCAGTTCATCTGCAGATTTAACCATCCAAGGGACACTGAGTAACTGACTCCATAAAGAGGAATTAATTTTTGCAATCTGACAGTGACATCTGCTACGAAACCCGAATTTTCACCAACGCCTCACCATTCCACCCTGTTCTGAATCACGTGCAACCAACTGACAACTTCACAGTTGAACATGCATTTTAATATTATCCGAAACAGTCCGACCTCTTCAGAATTACCATCCATCTTACTAATGCTTCATCTGATCATGCTAATGGCAATGTGAAGCTCCTCGTTACGCAGTTTTACTCAACACCCTGTTAATTCCTCGCGTTAGATCAAAATATTTTCCTCAACGCCCTCACACAAAATCATAGAATTTCTTGTTCTAATCTCATATTTTAATTGTCACGTGTTTAGCACACAAAATTATAGAATTTCTTGTTCTAGTCTCATATTTTAATTGTCACGTGTTTAGATAGCGAGCGAAAAGACGAACGGCCCGAGCTGAAAGGTAGCAAGAATTTCTGGGATTTAATCTGTTCCGTAAATACAGGGAAGTGGTCGTGTATTGACTTCCACCCACAGCACTTATTTAGAGTAAATGTAATGGGATACAGGACGAAAATGTTTGCTGGCTCCTGTGCGAAAGCTCCACGCCACAAAGACGAGGCCTCTGTTTGCTGAGCTTAGAATTCGGCACAAGACGGGGAGAGTTCACGCCCTGGTCCTTTGCCGCGGGTCGGCCCTGCGCGTTGTAGACACAGCTCCGGCGAACCAGAATTTGATCTTTGACGTTCCGAATACCACCAGTGACGTCAGAGCCAGTGAGTGATTCCCCGAGCGGAGCGGGCAGTTACTCATCTTACGTGTGATTTTAGCCGGAGTTAGAATTTGTAAACAAATTTCGAAATAATCGCAAAAATATTAAATTCCGTGAAAAACCGTTCAGTGGCTAGACAGACAGACAGACAGCAGAGGGCAAAGCTAACAGGCGCGTCTTTGTGAGTGTGATTTTGAACGAGCCTAAAAATCTGCCGCTGTTGGTGTGAAGTGATCGGCTAATACGATCAATGGATTGGGCGTGGGGGTTCAAAGGAGCCTGCGGCTAGAATACATGGAACTTTACCTCCGCCCTCCATACGCCGAAGCTTCTTTATGCCTGATTCCACGATGTTTGAAGGGCGTGGTGAATATTGCAACGCTGGGGGTGGGGGTTTTGGTCAGTCGAGTGGAAAAGGGCTGTTTCCGGAGAAGAAATACAACACAAAACTCTCGTCAGTTTAAACGTGTCACAGTACGGAATGTTTGTTTGCACCGGAGGTCCTTTCGCTGACTTAAGACGCTCGTTCGATTAACAACAGTTTTTGTTAGTTGCAAAATCAGTAACACACTTTTTGGGGCGCAACTGTCCTATATTTTGAAGAATCGAGGGGGTTCGACTTCATCTCGAAATGGCGAGGGATTATTCGGCTGACCATTCGCGAGCATTGTTCTTTTTCCCCTGAAACGAGTGCAGGATCCACTGTCAGAAAAATGTTTTTAGAACGGGTAGTAGAGGGAGCCATCATCACGTGCCTCTGAAACACGTTGGAGTCGGGTATAGAACGCCGAGCTGCGGAGTTCTCTGGTGGGACTCGGTGTCCTGTGCAGTGTCGTCAGTTGGCACGCCTGGGCTCGCTGCACAGTCGCTTGTTTTATTCATGGTGGACCGCCCCGCCCCTGTGGAATGCACACTCAGTGCGGGCGCAAATAGCGAGAAATCATCTCGAAACATCTCTCGCGTGATGATAAAATGTCAGAGCCCTCTCATGGTTACTGGAAGGGGGGAGGGGCTGTGGGGATAAAGCGACTGGAGCGTGGAGCTAGGAGTCTGGCGTCCTGGGGACAGTCCAATCGGTCCCATTTGCACAGAATTTCGTGGAAACTCGGACTCTACGAAGTGGATTAGCCAAGAAGCAGGGCTACGTTGTTGGCGTCTGTCCAGGTTCGAACCCCTGCCCCCTGGACCACAACTACGATGGTTTGTGAAAAGATTTTCAAATTATAACCAGGCCAATCGTTTGCGATGTGCTCTCGAAACTCGGGAGAGAAATCGCGAAATGCTGTGTGTGTGGTCGCGCCGGGAACCGAACCCTTAACTCCGCGAGTGTGGGCGTGTCTGCGGTAGGTTCCGCTATCTGGCAGGATATTTACGGGCCATGTTTTACTCAGACGATGAGATATCCTTCACTCCCACAGTCCGGGTGAGTAATGTCCTTTGGCTGGCGACAGGCTGCCTCGGAGAACATCTGACGAAGGTTCTCTGACATCCGAGGAACAGCGTCTGAACCAGAGCGCTCCAACACGAAATACCCTTGAGTAGTCTTGATAAGATCTGCAGCTGGGAGAGTTTCTAGTCTAAAAAGATATTACTTTTATTGTCTAGAGCTGTTTTAGTCGAATCTCCGCATTCATTACTTCGTTCGCCTGTAGCTCGAGAACGCAAAAAAACCGGTTTGCACCGAATTCGGCACGCTTAGTCATCGAGATCTGAAGGAGAACGTAATCAGGGTAGCAACTCCGGGAAAAAATGTTCCGATTTCGACTCCTGACAAGGTCGTTTCCTGCAGCTCGGAAATAAGCGCGATAGAAGAACGACGACGTTTCGGAGAAGAACTCGCGGAAAGAAAGGACGCAACTCTGAGTTAGATTCCCGATTAAGATGCTCTCTGTTGCTCCGAAACTAAGGTCACAAACCCGAAAAAACTCCTGGGTTCGAATCTCGGTGAAGATTGGTTAAAGGATGATGATTAGGCCTGCTATAATTTTGGGGACAATTAAGACTGATAAGAAATGTAAGCGTTTGTCTGACTCCTCGTGGTAAGACAGCGTCCATCTCCCACTGTGCGCATGGACCCTGCATCATCATCATCATGACGACCTCCGTCGTCTTGAAATGCTGACAACCGCTCAGCACAACTTCCTCGTCCGATGCTCGGACAACAAAGATCAGGACACCCACGACAGAAACTTAATGCAGACAGACTGATGTGATGACATGGACAATCAGCCACGAAGTTTGACGTTACACAGAATTTTATTTTTTGAAACATCTGATAATACAATTTATTAATACACAACATTTGAGGGGAACAGAGACTTTGCGATTGGTCCTCATACACAGAATTCACGCACCTTCCAACCCCCACGGGGCTCCTACGCTAGCTAAAAAGATTGGAACGCGTTCCCAGCGCGTTCACCTGCACAACGTCGCGTCGATCTGGGAAACCCAGGGCAAGATGATCTTGAGTTTGCGTCGGTAGCCGGGGTCCTTCGCCACCGGATTGTGCTCCAAGTAGACGGTGAGCAGCTTCTTGTTGCCAGCGAGGCTCTGGGCGCTCGACCAGTCGTCCACCAGGTTGTTGTTCAGCTGCAAAACACATTTCAAGGCCGCTCATTCCGCAATAAGCGAGACACAGAATACCATCAAACACCAACAAAAGGTCGTCTCACCCAAAACTCCTCCAGTTTGCTCAGGTGCTGAACGTTCTCGATCGCGCGGATCTTGTTGTTGGCGAGGTCAAGGGTTGAGATCTCCAGATTTCTGTCCAGGCCCTCGATCTTCGTCAGTCCGTTCTCGGACAGGTACAGCTGGTCGAGCCGCGTCAGGCCTTCCAGGTTCTCGATCTTGGTCAACCGGTTGCTCTGCGGAGAAGATCGACATTCACACAGAATGATCTGCATTTTGGAGATCAAGGGAGACGCAAATATACATGGGAGGTCTTCTCAACAGCGAGCACAAGCTACGCGCTGAACACAAGAAGAAATGAGCTTCGCGCAGTGACAATGCATTTACGCTAAAACCACTGAAGAAGGCACAGAATCCCAAAAATAAACTCGCATTCTGTTTACGGAGTACGTGAAAGCTTTCGACAAGGTTAGAAGAGACAGTGTACGAACATTATTTTGCGACTCGCTCACTCGCAGAGGCGCAAGATAAGATGATCTCATGACTGGTTGACTATTTTCCTGAGAACGAGCGACGAGCCAAGAGAAACCTGCGACCGCGTCGTACGGACTGAAAGAGCCGGACAGAGCAAAGCGCTCGCAATATTTCAGGCGGTCTAGGGTGTTCATCGAGGGAAATGGAATGAACTGTTTCAGCGACAAAGCAAGCGGACCTGTAGGATTTCACTTCAATCCTTCAAGCGGATGAAAACTTCCTGACTTCAGCAAGATGGCACCGCGCATCGTAACGTCTCATGAAACCGCCTGATCTCCTCAAGTCCAAGGACTTGTACCCCAGTTTCTTTCTCTGGGGCCACCACAGTGGAGTGGTCTGTGGGGCGAACCCACACGCACTGGAGGAACCGAAGACCGATACTAAAGCCGCTGTTGCAATGCCGAGCAAAACAGTGGGGGCCTGCATTCATGAAAACAGACCGCATTCTCAACATTTGCCGTAACCATTAAGTTTTAAACATCCTGCAAAACTTTGCAGTTCCAGTGCCCGATGAACGCGGGTACCCCCAGGTTCTCCTCTAAAACAGGTTCGTCTGAGGCCACGCTAACTACAGTGTTGCCACCTACCTGAACACTGAGCACCTGCAGAGTGCGCAGTGCATCCAGATTCTGGATTTTTGTTATCTTGTTCTTCCCCAGGTACAGGCACTTCAAGCTGTCGAGTCCTTCCAGGTTCTCGATGACCTGAAACAATTACGACGTTTATAGCAGCACAGAGAAGTTGAAATCGAGACGCGTGGCAAAAGGGCCAATGCCCGGACATGAAGCGCGTGCAAATGAGGTATAGAGCTCCCCTCAAATTATGTGGTAGTCAAATGAAGGTGCGATCACAGGCCAGACATAGAGGAACAAGAAATAACACGTGAATTTTGGTATGGAAACCCTTTGAAAAGCATGAACTTGGGGGACCACTGAGACGAGGGGATAAGACAGACCTTGGGAAGATGTCAAGTGGTGAGCTCTGGTGTTAGGACTGTCAAACATTTAAGCTGTATCACAAAAGAGTTACTTTCAAGCATTTTAAAAACAGCGCCGTTAATTTAAATCTCGCCGTGTTCCATGGCGGGGCACAGCCTCGTGTCGCAGCACAGAAGTACGTTTTGTGAAATAGAGTATGAAGGTCATGACACCAAGGTCTCTCACATCCACATCAAAAGGATGGTCTCATAAACTTCTAAAGCACCAATCAAAACTATTTTCTGAAACCATGGACAAGTGGCACAACAAATGAAAAATCATGACATGGCAAATGTTATCTGGACCACTTAGTTTGACCGTCAGTCCAAACTCAAAGAGTAACTTAATCCAAATTTCCTCCAGCCAGCTAAATGGCTATGACCTGGAATGCAGAGCCTCAGGGTAAGGACGGCTTTTACGACACGCCGCGTCCTTGTGCTCCGGTGGCCGGCAGGTACGACCGAGGTTCCGTCCACTGTCGGCCGGCCGGAACGCATCAGAAACAGGGACTATATCTGTTTCACGCGTAACTTCATGTTCAAAATGGTTTCTGTCGCTTGCATTCAAGCCGGTAATGTCGGACAGTGTCGTGGTCGCGCCAAGACGTACGTAACAAAGGGCAAAAACTTACTGAAGCACAGAATGCTAAATCAGGTACCGGTGGTCTACTTGCCCGAATCTTGTTGTCCCCCAACTCGAGCAGCGTCAAGTTCTTAAGATGGTTCACATTCTCGATACGCGAGATCTTGTTTGCGCACAGATACAGTTTCTCCAACTTGTGCAGCTGTCCCAGACCCTTGATCTCATGCACACGGTTGAACGACACATCCAGGACTCTATAAACACAGGACGCGTACTATTAGTCACGTGACACCTGGTAGAAGCAGACCCTGGAATGGGTATAAAGAACGCTAACATCTTATAGAAGAAAAACAAGACTTGGCACTTCCACAAAATAGAACAGAGAAGCTTAGTTGTCAGACAAGTCACATAAAATGAAAACATCTTAGATCAAAGGAAAGAAAGTTTGTGCCCTTCAGTCAGACTAAGAGACCACGATCCACAATCCTACAGAGCAATGCAAATGGCAATGCTGTTCTGGGTTGTGAGACCACGAGGACTCATAGGTACGTATCAGCATCTTCAGTGAACGTGGTGTCACAATCCAGAAGAACACAGCGCTCTTCACTGCCATGAGAACGTCGAATCTCAACGGAGGTCAGCAGTTGTTCAACTGTAAAAATCAATTACTCGAGCTTTAGCCTGATAAATTTCACAATTGATGGTCTTACTCCAGGTTCACGAGGCTGTCAAGGTTTTCCAGCGTCGTAATCTGGTTGTCATACAGCTCCAGCTCTCTCAGAGTCACTAGCGTTTCCAGATTCTCTATCTTCTTGATCAGGTTCCAGCGGAAGTACAGGCGCTCCACTTTGGTGAGCGGTTCCAAGTTTTCCAGGCACTTAATCTTCTGGTGGTTCATGTCCAGTTCCTGTTTCACAACAAGACACACAAACAGTGAAGAAACCTGCTTCAGTTCAGCCCGTGAGATCACCATTACACACTAAAGCTTTCAAGGACTAATGATATGAGTATTCTTGTTTCCGCCTTCGTACAACTGACACAGAGTTTAAAGGTAAATGTATATTTGAGCATACTGTTTTGATGGGATACTACACATTCATAAAACTATTTTTAAATGATCAAAGAAGTAAGATGGCCTTGAAAAGGCAAAGAAAGCAGAGCTGAGGCAGCTCTATGAGTCACATTTCAGGTTTTATCAGAGCAAGAGACCACCAATAAACAAGGTTAAATGAAACTAAGAGCTACAGCCTTCATTTCTAACATTAGAAATTCATTTATCAGATTAACTGGTTTGAATGATAACTCAACTATTCATGTTTACAAACCATTAGACCTGTCACAGCTTTAATAGCGACAGAAATATCTAATGACTGTTATGCATACCTCAGTGTCTGGATCAACAATCAGTATCTCTTTGGGTTTCTCGCCTTCATCTTCACCTGCAAAATGGTTCTTTATAAGCATTTCTTGTTCTAGTTTGCACTAAGAGCTTATCATATACTCCTATTACGCAAAAACTCACGATCATCTATTTCCTCTGTGCCAGGGCATGTTTCAACACTGACTGATGATTGCAGTCCTGGATTTGTGTCTTTAGCATTGTCAACATCTACAGGAGATTCTGTAAAACTCACAAAAACAGGCAATTAAATGTGTGTGCATATGCGTGCTTCTTACAGTTTGAGAAACGTAAATTGACACAAACAGGGCATGTTCAACTTAAAGGCTTTTATCATATTACTGCCCTTATGAAACCGTTGCATATAGGTTATGGTTACACAATTATTCCAAACACAAATTAACACCCAAAATACTTAAACTCGTAACACGAATATTCCTCATTACCTGCCATTATTGTGAAGTTATTTTCAAAACAATTGTAGTTCACATCAACAAAATTACGACTCGGCAAAATACAAGTGTCATTTGCAATCAACGCCGTCTTATGTCTCGTGTGATTATTCGTTATATACTCTCTGACGGGATCCCAGTGTCGCTAACATATTGACGATCTTCTGTGATTTTGACGGTGTTTGTATGTTGGTATTGATTTTGGTTTATTATTTCTGCTACTCCCGTCGGTCGATGAGTCCGACGTAACATTTATGTTCTTCCTTCCTTCCTTCCTTCCAAGTGTCTGGTAGTAGGATCGAAAATCATATTGGATAATTCATATGCAGGTCATGAGGTTGTGTATTTTGAAACGTAGAGTTTAGTATATGGGTTACTATTTGCTTAACTTTGCCGTGGCCATATCTTGTGAGTTGACATTAAACCGGGAAATAGAATTTGAGTAGTAGATGTTTGTGGTTCAATTTGAGACATTATGATATTTTGAGATAACACCTTACAAACTTGTCATCCAATATCCTTATACCGTTCGTCAAACTTCAATATAACTTCAGATATTCTCGTAGCGGTTTGCTGGCATTTGTGCATTAAAATAAAAATGTGTAAATGATAGGATAGGGCAGATTGTAAGTAGATCAGGCTTTATTTGAGCTGGAATAAGAGGAAATCGGACTGCGTTTTGGTATGGATTTGAAGATAAATGTCGGGCTCAGGCGGGGCTGGGTGAAATTTTAAAATTTTGGCCCACACAGGCTTCCCTTAGAATGGTATCAATTTGCCTATGCCTGCAGAAGTCGGTTACAAGGGCATCAACAGGCAGTTTTGTTTGTATCTAAACCATCTTGATGGGCAGGTGTCCTGTTTCACTTCAACAATAAAAATACTTTCAAAATTTGATTTGCCATCATCACTGACAATTTTCAGAAGAATGAGGTGGGTGTTATATGTAGTAGTACACATGGTGGAAATGGATTTGCTTAAAATATTTTAATCAGAAAACCTGAAGGGGTAGATCTCAGCTTGCAAGAGGTTAATATTAGGATGAATGTTAAGGAATAAGGATTTTAACTGAGTACAACTGACTCCATTGTCCACTAGCAGGCAGTGAACTGGGTTGCAAAATTGGTGGATAATTTCAGGACTGCTTGACTATTTGCTCTCAAGGAGTTGTAAAGTATTACTTTCATGATGTTTTACACCAATTGCAATGGTTTGGTGGCACACTTCTAATCAGACCAAAGCATCCATCCTTTCACCCTTAGAAAAACTATGGTTCTTGTGCATGTCTCTTTGCCACTAAAGAAAAGCATGCTTGGGGATTATATACAAGATTGAGATTCTTGTTTTATCATCTTTATGCCAGGCATTGAAACTATTATTGTAGAGGTATTCTGCATAAGTAAGGACATCCTAATTGAGGTTAGGTTAGCTATGTTTTGCTAGTTAAAAGATATGCTGTCGCATAGAATAGAATTTATTTGCATTTCATAGATTCTTGATAGGTCCAAGCCAAGGATGAAGAACATGTTATAGTACAAATACAATACTTGTATTGTAATGCAAATATAAATTACATTGTTATGACAGTATTTTACAGTCAATTATAGTATTACCACAAAATAAGAAGAATCATACAATCAAGAAATCATACCCACTAACATGTACATTCATTTACAATAGCTGAGAATATTTGGTTGAGGTAAATTCTTCTATGGAGTAGAAGGAGTGGAAGAGGAGATACTCTTTAATGTTTTCTAAAAGTTTTTGTCATAATTCAGACCTTTCATAGCAAGGAGAAGATTACTGAAAAGCTTAATTCGAGTATAGTAAACTCCTTTTCAATGTTTACTGAATGTAGTGTTTGACATATGAAGGTTATGTCTGATTCTTGTACTTATGAGTTTGTTTGAAAATTTTCTATGTTGTTTACTACAAATAATGGGAAGAAGACTTCACTGGCTAGTGTAAGAATATTCAATTTCTAAATCCCCTTCACAAGGCTCTGCTTTTAGTGCCTACCATTGATCTGATGATTTTATTTTCAATGTAAAATTCTTTTTTGCTATCTGTTGAGTTTCCCCAGAAAATAATTCCATATGACATGATCAAATGGCTGTAAGATGTCTAGAGGTTAATTAAAAATCTGTAAACAGCACTACAGAATCTAGTCTAGTCTAAGGTAGAGTGTTTGTGTTGACACACAACACTGCTATGAGCCTTCTGACCCTCTGTTTTGACAGTTGTTTTTTGATGATATGGAGATGACAGTTTCCACATTAAAACACTTTTGTGTTTGGTGTGACAAAACATTGAGTTGAAAGATGAAGCTTTTTGATGGAACAAGGAAGATCACTTTCTTTTTTGTGATGGAGGGATACTTTACTTGTGCTAAACATTTTCCCAATACATGCTGTTGCATTGAATTGAACTCGGAATAAAGACACCAGAAAATGAGTACACTTAACTATACTTTTCTTGTATGGAAGAAGCATTTCTATTCCTGACTACTTCTTTACAATCTTAATTTTAGTGGGAGGTGTACTACTGTATTTATTTCGGTTGATGAAAAGTGTTGCATATTTTGAAGACTGACTATGAACATCTACCTGGCAGTAAAACTAAATTTTTTTAGAATGATTGGTATGCTTTTGTAAATTGTGGGGTTTGAATTATGGCGCCGAGAATTTACGTACGAATTATTATTATAGATGGCAGCATAGTGAAAATCGAAGAAATGCAGGATTATGTTTTCATAGATGGCAGGTTTTATAATCAGCACCAATCAAAATTTCGAATTTTGCATTTCGCCAACCAACCTTAAAAACCTCTTGGCGGGAAATTGGTTTACATCCATTTTGCAATGTAAGTAGCACATTTTTGGTGGGATTTGTTAAAACATTTCTGGAGTTTGTTTTGTTACAGGTAAGTATTTAAGGGAATAAATGGTTTGTTTATTTCCAGCAATGCATAGTTTTTGTTCGAATTCTTATTAATTCCCTTTCATTAAGGGCAACCTAACCTTATATCGGTACCGAAAATGATCTGATGCTTCGTTAGAGTTGTTTGCAGCTACAGAAGAATTATGTCCATTAAAGAGGTTCCTTTTTGCATGCGAACTCGGAGCGGCTTCTCTGGAATGTGTGATACGTAATATTTGGTTTCTAGCATTGACACCTTCCTTTATATTAGGTTGTACAGAGTGAGTGATGAAAGTTTGCTCATTATTTTGCTTTTTATTTTAGTGTTATGCTGTACAGTGGGAAAATTAATATTTGTTCTTTCTGTGTAAGGTTAAGCAAATGGACACAAAATCTTCCTGCTATAGGTCTGATGTGTGTTGAATAGTTTATTACACTGTTGTGTATTGTTTGCAGTTGCTCCAAGAATACCAGCATTGAAGAGATGGATTTTCCTGACCCTGAGGAGGAGTTTGACATGATGTATGCAGAGGAGTTGGAGTTGATGAGAGAACTAGAAGGTAAGGGTGGCTGTATTGATATTTGTTGATGTATGAAAGAATTACCTGACACATTGACAGGGTTGTGTGTTGTTTCAGATCAATGCTCACATGCGGATAGGGGTTCATGCCCCAAGTCAAAGCGCAGTTTGGACTTCTCGAGCCCCAAAGCACCATCACCCGTGGCTCCAGCACTGGGGGTGATGGATGATGTGGAGTTGCAGCTCCCAGAAGTAAGTATAGTACACGAGGTGTTACAGCTAGTGTATCGGGAAAGCAACGGAGTCATCTCAGTTGACTATAATTCAATCCAAACTACTGTCTGCCAGCACTGATGTGTGATTTATTTGATTGCTGGAGCCTAACCAATTTGAAAAACATATATCATGTGAAGTTTGATTAGAAGGGGCTGTTTTCAAGACACTTGTATACATCTTGTTCATATAAAGATACATTTGTTCCTACATTCAAAGTAATTGTATGCATTTCATTTTTAGATACAAAGGGCATGTGCAAGGGTAAGGTGGAGAGATCAAGTGGGTGAATGTATACAAAAGAGAACATCAGTAGGGTATACGAAGATGACGTGCAATAGTTAGGGTTGGGGGTCCCGATGAATGGTGACTCGATTTCCTTGAATTTCAATTGATGTGATGGTATGAATCTTGAAGTTCTGCAACGTAATATCAACTCAAATTGCACAGGTTTTACCTGCAGCCCCACAGACTGACGTGGGTCTTCCTGGGGACAGTGACAGGAAGAGAAAAGTGACAGAGTTGTTTGGAGACATTAGTGACATGGAGCTTGAGGACCTGGACAGTTTGGACAGTCTTTGCGGTAAGTCGGTATTTTTAAGGACACGGGGCACAGTCCTCTTAAAGGAGGGTTGAACATTTTATTACAAAATTCAACACAAGAAGAGTTTATATTTTGTTTTTCTAACATGTGCTTATGTAGTGTTGAAAGTGGTCTGTGGAATCAGCTAATTAAAAGTTATAATTTATATCAACTCTTTTCTTGGAAAATCTCACGTTTGTTTCTTGTTACACGTTTTATTGAATTAGCTCACTGTTTATGAAACAAAATGATGGCAAACAAATTACTCACAACACAGAATACAGTTGTCATATGCTAGGAGGTGGGGTCTGAGCCAAGCAGAAGTCCGTATGAAACCATTGTTACTTGCAGTTAAAAGTATTTAGAAATATTTTTAAATATGAACAAAATTACAATTGAGCTTACGGTGCAGATCATAATAAAGCGTGCATGATCCGTAGATGTGAAAAGATGATTCGAACTATGTAGTTCACCTTCACTGTGCATGGGGCAGAGGTTTACATGATACATACTGAAATATTTGGTTAAAGTTCATAAAGGCTATAGCCAAGAGGTTAGTTACCAAGTATATAATTTTCCGAAACTTATAGCCATGCCAGGTGAAGAACCTACAGTGAACTATGAACATCATTAAACATCATTATGGGAACAAAAGATGACATTACTAAAATTATTTACATGAGATTGAATGATATAATATAATAGGTTATGTCAAAGTATATTTACTGTATCTTAAATTGTGTATGGAATATTTAAATGTTAGGGTTGCATTACATGCGCTAATTCTAAATTTGTTGGAATGATGATTCTTTTATGTCTGTATTCATGAGATGAGTTTCTCAGGGAAAAATGTTGATAGACGAACTATATCAGTTACATGCGCTAATTCTACATTTGTTGAAATGATGATTCTTTTATGTCTATATTCATGAGATGATGGCCCAAAGAGAGAGTTTTTCAGAGAAAAATGTTGATAGACGAACTATATCATTTTTAATAAACTGATGTGCTGTATATAACTCATAATTAGCCATACCTGATGGATAAATAAATTAGAAGAAACAGGTTATTTGCAGCATTGTTGGAGGGACTGAGGAAAATTGGATGAAACTTGTGACACTGGAATGTAGCGTATCAGTCTGTCAATAGAAATTCAGGCCGACTGCAGCAGTGTAGTGTGAAATATAACGCAGGGTACCAATCTCTCTGTAATATCCACAGCAAAGAGACAGAGGCAAGCCACAGGGGAAACTGATGCAGACCTCATCAAGAGGATCAAAGCACAAAGGCAACTGGTTCAAGCTCAGACACAGTCCCGGCATGTCCTCGGCGACTCGCCACATTCAGACGTGTGAGATACTTCTTTCTTATGTTGTAGAAAGGCAAATTACAAACGTGTACAAATTTTGAAACATTATTTTACTTGTTAATAATTACACACATACATAGAATGTTCTTAAATTACGCGCAATGAATAATTAGGGTGCTTTACGATGTCAGTAGTGTCACTATGAGTCAGAAAGGTCCAGTGAACATAGGTCTGGAAATGTTCTAAATAAAGTTAAGGTAAAATGTCAAGAGCATATCACTTTGCAGGGCTGGTTCAATCAACGTGACGCACAAAGCTGTCAAATGTGTGTGGCAGAATCATAGAAGGCAGTAAATGCGTCTTACGAGAAGAACTCACAGGTCCCCTGTTGCTAATTGTGTGTAGACATTAACGTCAATTATTGGAGGAAGTTTTGTTGTTCACGCAGCAATGGATGTGGTGATGCTACAGCATATTTCAGTCTGGTTATGGGGGAGTGTTTACGCAAATGCGATTTGTGCCACAGCTCGGGTGTTTATGCATGTCCAGGTTGTTGGATCGTCTTAATACAAGTGTTCGTGCCTGTGGATGGAATTTTGATCATTTGTTGTAAAATTTTTATCACATGCTCCTTCAATTAAGCATTTCACATTTCAGAGATGTTTTTGTATCCTTGAATGTTGTCCTCTGTAAGGCATTTCTAGACCGATGTCCATTGGACTCTTTTAGTCATATTTGTACTCCGAAGTTTATCTATCATTTATGGCACACGATTTAGAAACGCTCTGTACATTTAGTCAACATTGATATTTCACAAGCATGTCTATTGGTTTCTTACAAATGCAGTGCACAAGTTTTATTAAACTGGAGTAGTCTGCCAGGAAACCACTTCTGGATCATCTGCCAAGAACGTATATGAACAGGTCCCAGTCCGAGAAAAGGATGGAAGGATCCTGTTCATATGGACCTGTCGTCAGACAGAACACTAAAATAATAATAATAAATAATAATAAGGTCTTAGATATCCAAAAGTTTCAATTGACTTCAGCTATATTTTGCACAAGCCACTTATTCCTTGAACATTGTTTAAGAACACAGAAAGATTGAAAGGAAATGGTAACAGATGTGTTTGTGATACGGTTGAAATGAATTCGTATAAGAGAACAAGTAACTAAAATATAAGAATTGCTTTTAAAAATGTCGAAAAAGAGAAACGATTCTCTGTGTGGGTTATAATTTGAAGAATGTCGCTGATGATCGATTGTAACAGTGTTTCTGATGTGCGTTGATAGATGGCCAGGTCTAGAAAAAGAATTTGTATTTGCTAACCATGTCGCAATATGCACTTACTCAATCCTGCAATATGCTTTATACGTTTATTTATACTCGGTGCAGGGCTCTATTGACTCATCCGTGGTGAGTGGGCAAGTGCATTCCTTGAGCCCCGCACCAGGTTATTGAGTACGGGTAGCCCTCGATTTGCGCCGATTTTGAAACCGGCGGGTCAAAAAGTGAAAGAAATATATTTTACTATTATTTATAACGTTTTACAATGTTTCTCATACTGATTCTTATACCAAATCGTAATTCTTGCATCGCTGATTTTGAATAAAAATTATAAATACAGTCATCTCTGCAATTACGTATGTTTCGTTAATGCGAATTTGCTCCGATGAGATCTATGAATCGGTAAAAGCTGTTTCTGAAATGCAAACTTTTTCATATGCGAGTTTGTTTTCATGCAGTTGAGGCCATGAGGAATTATCATGAAATTGTTAAAGAAAGAAAGAAGAAATCACGACATGCCTTCTTTAAAAAACATGACAATCCTCAACAAGGGACTTCGTCAGAGAACTAACGCCGCTACATCACGCCATTGCCGATTATAAGTGCATAAAATATATTTTTTTAAATTCCCTTTATTTTATTTACGTTATTTCAGAGCTTTAAATGTAATGCCATTATATTACTCGTCAATGTTTGGATGCTGGGATCGTGTGTCATTGACTTCCCATTGATTTACATTATAAAATCATTCCACTTTACACCGAATCGTCCAGGAACACATCCCCGGCGTAAATCGAGGGCTACCTGTGTAAGGTTTGCACCAGATAGAATATGCAGAGAACGTGCTGAATGAATTTGTATATAGGATAAGTTATGAGCAGCTGATTGGCTGTTTTTAGGAAAGAATGGTTAATTTTATGCAGAATGTTTCTAATTTTTAAACAGTGTTAAGAATATGTTTACTAATCAAGACAGACTGGAATACGTTTATTTGTGTAAAGGATTAGCACCGTGGAGTTGGTTAATTTGTCGGACAAGTGCACATTTTGTTCTCTGTTGTCTGCAGGAACACCAGCAACGTAACATGGAGGGTCCCTAGGTATCCATTTGTGTCTGTGGCTTGCAGGAATGGAGAGAGGATGTATGTCAGACTGCGCTCCGAGGAATACTTTGAACGACAGGTACATGGGCTTGAAAAATATATAAGCAGTTGCTTGATTGTACTTAATTGGTACAAAAGAATACATTTTGTGATTAATATGACAGAAAGGAATTATTATTCATTGTTTCACGTTAAAATTAAAGTGGCTTCCCCTTTCAACATGGTAAAACATTGTGGTCTTATTTAAAATGTGAATACTTAGAAAGAAAGTGGCTTATAGCACCATTCACTAGTTTCTGTACATTGCTTTGTCATTTATTTTCTAAAAGAATGTAATTTTGAGGTAAAAAAACCTGGACTCATGGGAGTTCAATTATTGTGCACATATTTAAATAAAAATCACAAAAATGACTGTCACCTATCAAATACTAGATGTAATTTTTATAAGGATTTTTTATTACAGTTTTCGTAACCGATTGATATTGAGAAATGTTACTACAAATGTGAAAACCGTGCTCAAAAGAATGAAATTTCAACAGCTTGATGGCAGTAATGTGCAGATCAAGGAAAACACATTTTAAAGTTACGCTGAATGTTGCAACAAAAGGAGAAATTATTCTTTGATGTGGACTGAAGTCAGATTTTGCAGTATGTGGTAATGCACGGACGTTTGTCTAAAGTTGAGTCTCGCAACATTAGGGTAAACGGAGATTGGGGAAGGTTTAAAACTTACAGGACATGTGACAATATTACCCGAAGTTTCAACACCGAGCCAGTTTCAGCCAAATTCTGTTCCTATAATCTGTAATTGTCATGGTATATATTTTGTGTGTACAGATCAGTAGCATCACGGCACAGAGCCGTACCATGGGACTTTTGTCCATCCCGTACCAGTCACTGTGGGACCAGGCCCAGCTTTATGTAAGTGTATGCATCATGAGAGATTTTAGACACTCTGCATTGCAGTCCAAGGGACAGGCATTCTGATGCTGTGCATACATTTCCTAACTTGTTTTGTTATGTGCGGTAGAAAGGACTGTCACTGTTTGCAGAGTTTATAGCACATAATTACATAATTTTCTTCCCGTTATCAGAAGCATGATAAATCTATTTTTTTATCTTATATATTGCTGAAGAAATATAATTTCAAATAAGTAATTTATATTGTATTAAGTAGAATTTGAGTTTTTTATGGATGTAAGTATGTAGATGACTGTCCTCCGGGTTGTTGCTCTGTGCAGTTTGGTGGAAAGCAACCAACATTTCAGAGGTCCTTGCTGCTTTCGTCATCAGGACAGGATATTTTGTTTGCAGTGTAAATTCAGAGCTAAAGGTTCTGAGCAGTGGTTTTGTCATGATTATAAACGTGCGGAATGCTCAGTTTGTTTCTGTTGTGATGCAGATACAGAAGAAGCTGGATCAGGCAGAAGCTGACCAGAATGCTACTGAGACTGCCACGGAGCCCATTGACACTGGATGTGCGACAGTGAGTGGTGAGGAGGACAATGTTGACCTGTGGGTAGAGAAGTACAAACCGAAGAGCTACCTTGAACTCCTGAGTGATGAGGTGAATTGATTAACTAGTAATGTTCCTCTGATTCTGATGAAGCTCAAGATGAGCACCATCAAGTGGTGAATTTATAAAATTACACTAATGTCTAAGGAATTAACATCTATTATACAAAGATTGCTGTCTTCTGGGTTGTTGCACTGTGTAGTCTGGTAGATTTCCACCAACGTCTGAGAGGTCATCAGGGCGATGTATGACCTCTGAAACATCTGTGGAAATCTACCAGACTACACGATTTAATAACCCAGAAGACAGCAAGTTTCAGACTCACCATTGTAAAATCCTCAAATCCTACATCTGTTATACAGGTTTCTGATGTATAAAGTGAAGCTTTTGCAGTGACTGAACTTGAAAGACTCTCGGGTTACAAGCCGCATCAGGTGGCTGAATGGTGAATAAATCCAAAAAGTCTGCAGTAGCAGAACGTAGCGTAAATACAGGGCACAGCATCGACTTCTATCAGACCTTGGTGTTGGACAGGGCATCAGGATATATGGACCGGCTCGTAAAAGAAGCCATTGAGATCCGCCTGCACAACTTCAACAGCGATGATGGTTTCACTCCGAGCCAGGCCTGGTATCCTGTGACAGAACTGCTGTCCGCCCAGAAGGCTGAGCCAGCAAGTGCGAGCACGTGACCTCGACTGCCAGTTCCCATTGGCCAGCACGAAACAAAGCAACAGATTTGTTACCCAGCAACCCTGAGGATGAGAGCTGAGATTGTTCTTGAAACATTGGCAGAAGATATGGTTTAGCCACCTGACGCGGCTTGTAACGCGAGAGTCTTTTGTCATCTATTATTCAGGTTTGTAAGTTATAGTTAAGAAGATTTGTTGAATAAATTCTGCCTCTGAGACAATTTGCAGTAGTCATCCTGTTTAATTGTCTCAGGGTTCTAATGTTTCTGTGCCATGTGGTATGAATAAACAAGATTTCTTGGTTGCGATTTGTCATGTGAAATATAAAAGAAGAACATTTTATCACGTATTGGAAAGTAACACTTTGTGGTGAGGAACGTGTCGGATTGTTATCCAAAGAAAATTAATCTTTAAATCTGTGGCATCTTTGATATTTCAGTTGTTGCAACAACACTTGCAATTATGTCTGTAAAAATATGTTTCAGTCACAGATTGTTTCACTTCACAAAGCAGTTTCCACTCTGTTGCATCTCTCTGTAGGCGTTTGTCTCCTATTTTCTCTGATTTAGCTTCCCCTTGTTTTGTTCTTTGGCAGTCGTCTCTTAATTAATTTTCATGGTTATGGAAATTACAAACGACTGAATACCCGTATTCTAATTCTGCTAATTCATTCTGTTGTGTGTGTGAATTGCAGGGAGCCAACAGGACGTTGCTGCGCTGGCTCAAGCTGTGGGACAAGGTTGTGTTCAACTCAGAGAGGAAGATAAAACACAAGGGCAAGCAGGAGGGCAAGAAGGGTGAGCAGGGGCTAGAAGGGATTTAGCATAGTGTACATTATGTACATTGAAAAGATGTAAATTTGTGTAAGAATTGCTTGTCATACACAGTTTAAATGGTCACTGAACCCCTCACTGGTCAGGAGCCATGGTATTTCAGTCAGTATAGTTACTGGCTATGGAATGGATGACCAGGGTTTGATCCCTGACAGGGGTAGAGGATTTTTCCTCTGGCCGGTACTTCCAGACTGGCTCTGGTACTAGGTTTGTTTCCTGGGGTAAAATGCTGCCGGGTTGTGATACTGACCACTCACCCCTGTCTAGTGCCAAGGTTAAGAATGAGTAGGAACAATACTACCTCTCCCCCCCCAAGTGCCTAAATGGTGTATAGCAAGACAGCTTCACTTTTTTTAACTTTACCACTCACTGGGCAGGTTTAACTACTGGCATTTAAAAGAACCTTAAGAGCATGATACGAGATGTTTCGTAAGAAAAATCCAGCGGCCATTTCTCATCCAAGTCTCTCCTGATTAACTGCTAGATGGCTCTGGCAGTCAAATCAGGATTGGGTAGAAATTGTGCAGAGTCAGTGGGCTCGTCACTCACTACTCATAAATGCACACTTCAAGACCAAGAAACCTCTGAAAAGGAGGCGGCGAAAACCCACAACCGTGTTGTAGAGCCAAGAAACAGAAACAATTTAAATAAGAGAATGCACCCTTGTCAAAAATCCTGCATATTTTTTAATATTCTGACTAAGAAATTATGAAGTAAAAAATATATTCATGGAAAAAAAGAGATTAACCAAAGAAAGTTTTTTATTTTAAAAAGAAAGGTCATATCCATTCAGCAAAGACTTATTACTTGTATGGCTTTTTTTTTACCAAGGTTCAACTTTCTGGTCCAAAATTTAAAACAACACAACAAAACTTGAAGGTTCAATAGTGCCAATACCAAAACTTGTGATTGTGTCTCTACTTCACAGTGCACACTCAGTATCATGTGTTATGTTTCGCTGCAGAGAACTTCCAAAAGTTTGGCAGTGTGCTGAATGATGAGCTGGATGAACATGGCTGCCCGCAGCAGAAGGTGGCTCTTTTGTGTGGGCCCCCAGGCCTCGGGAAGACTACATTGGCTCACATGGTGGGCACACATGCAGGTTACAATGTAGTGGAGATGAATGCTAGTGATGACAGGAGCCCAGATGCGTTCCGGACCCAGTTGGAGGCAGCCACACAGATGCGATCTGTTATGGGCACAGAACCAAGACCTAACTGCTTGGTGCTTGATGAGATTGACGGTGCGCCTTCGGTGAGCTTTCTTTCTAAAAAGTTGGGATTTTTAATTAATGAGGGGTAAAGTTTGTATTATTGCATTATTAGAGTAAGCTGCGCGCTCTTATTTAATTATAAAAATGCCTCTGCGAAATATTAAAGTGTTCATAATTAATTCCCAGCTACCTACCTAACTGACTATCTAATTCCATGGAGAAGAATCTTTGTTGAGAAGGGGATATCATTCAGGTAGTCAAGATATTTGCTGCCTTCTCAAAGCCTGTCTAGCGGCTAACTAAAAGTAGCATCCCAAATCAATGGACTCGGGCTTCCTGACCAGAAACAAATTGGCACAACAGCATTTTTGTTTCCCGTTTAACGTAGCATACGAGCCCAAGGGGAAGATAAATTAGCGAGACCACTGAAGAGATGGCATAAAACTGGTATCTGACCTGATGATGACAACTAAAGTATGAAGAACGTACTAGTATGCTGACATAACCTTCTATTTACAGGCGTCCATAGATGTTCTCATAAAATTTGTGCTGGGGAGGGACACAGGCAAGGTTGCACATGGCAAGAAGAAGAGGCGTGGCGGTGGCGTGTTGAAGCGGCCAGTCGTGTGCATTTGTAATGATGTGTATGTCCCAGCCCTGCGATCGCTGAGACAAATTGCACTCATTGTCCAGTTTCCACCAACAGCTTCCTCAAGGTAAGCGTTGCTGCCGTTATGTTTGCTTCGCATGTTTGTCCTCTCCCAGTATTTTTTAGTGTTATGTCATAATGGTTAGCTCTCCTGTTTTGTTAGATGAATGGCAAATTTTTGTGGTTTTCCTCGGTCCATTCACTCTTCAGATATGTTCCAACAGTACCTTAAAATGGGATACCAGTGCCGCTGTCGACATTTTTTCCCATTCACCGTCATAATCATTTCCTTATTCAAGTTTTTATAACCTCTGCAATTGATAAATAATTCTTAATAAGGAATAATAAGTTCCATAGTTTATGCTATTTTAACAAATATTTTCTGATATGATTTGTCATTTTACAAAGCCACTCCAGTCCTCTCTCTGTTTCATGGCTTTTCCAGTCTGCTTCAGTCCGTCTTGGTTGCTGTGAAACAGTTTTCACTCTGTGACTTAACCCTCTTTATAATATTTTACATTTCCTTAATCCAGGGCTTTATAAATTTGCTTTGGGTCTGGGAGCACAACAAACTCTTCAGCTTTCAATGTTTTGTGTGTTAATGATGGAAAAATAAGAATAAAACTTCTCATAGAACGCTAATATTCTGATGACACTTTTGTTATGTAGGAGCAAAGCACATCCTAAATACCATCCACTTTCTGTAATTGCTCTAGTACAAGCGCACTTTCTCGAAGTATTTCAAATTATATTTATTACGGAAATCCTGCCACTGGAGGATGCGTAGGAGCCGTAGTTTCATTTTCCATTCTACATCAAGTCTCCAAGTGACAACTGGAGACGCTGTACCACTTTTGTGATGTGATTCTTGATTACCACCAATTTTATTATCATCATTGTCACCAGATTCTACTTTTGGAAGATTTTCATCAGCAGAATCAAAAATTGGCGCAGTATCATCAATGCGAGAAACACATATTCTTTATCAATAGGATTTAAACCCCCGTAGTTTAGGGCTGGTGGCCAGATTTTAACATTCGGTTGCTGGTTTACTGTGATGAATGCATGCGGCTTGACCCACAGCCAAAAAGGCAGAATTTACACAATCATGTAAATGTTAGGTAGATAATTCTAGTTTATATATATATATATATATAATATTGGAATTAACAATTATTTTTATGCTTTTGAATATCATTAGAAATGTTATGTGTAACTTATTCAATAAAAGCTGACTGACATTTTTATTAACAATAAATCTTTAATTATTAATTTGTTTTCATTGCCTTTCATTATACTGAATATAATGTCAGTCCACAAAAGTTAATTATACTGAGATTTTACCGTATATACATGTTCGTTATCTGTAAACAAAGCATTCAGCGCTCGGATTTTCTGCCATAGATGAGGACGTGAGAGAGAGACAGTTGCTGCTGAGTGGAAGTTTTAAGATAATATGAACGGGCAGTAATCGAGAATAATTACTGTTGATAATGCGAGGTACCCTTGTCACCTAGTGCTTAGGGGTTTTTTAAGCAGTGCCAGAATGTATTTTCCTTCTCTGTTTACATTTTATTTTCTCAGAGGCTTAATGGCTGCTTCCCAGACGACTAACGTGGCCACTACATTTGTAGTCGTTTAAAAACTCATTGTTCATACTAAAATGGACTGTGATAGCTGAGTCAGTTCGGTTAACTGCATTATGGGGTTCAAATTCTGGGCTAATAAGAATGTTCATATTTTTCTCCATATTGGCATGTCCACATCTACTGGGTATGGGGACTTTTCAGTATTTGAAGTGTGAAATTGACCTCTCAACTCCACCTAATTTTGAGAGTTATAATGCATGGAGCTTTACTTCCATGATCCTTACACCAACATATGATGTAGTGCTTAGGTACAGGGATGTTGTCCCTTTCAGACAAAATTTAATTTGAAATGTAGCTTCTTGTAGTTCAACTGTTCAGACCAAGACTCAGGTATACAAAGAAATTTTGGAAACTCCCGCGACATCTGCCGTCATTTAGGAATCTGGCTCCATTTGAATAGCGTGGATGTATTAGCACTGTACCTTCTGCACAGGTTGGCACAGCGACTGCTTGAAATTGCTCGTAAACAACACATGAAGACTGACATGAGAGCGCTCGTGGCTCTTGCTGAGAAGTCCCACAACGACATTCGCTCTTGTCTGTCTGTGCTTCACTTCTTCAAATCACAGAAGAAGGACGTCCGCCTGGTCGACATTCAGAAGAGCAGTATTGGGCTGAAGGACGTACAGAAAGGCCTGTTCACTGTCTGGCGGGAGGTATTTCAGATACAGCGTCCAAAAAGGTGAGAAGCTGCTCGGTTAGTTTGTTGCAGACATGCTTGGAGTGTCATTACAGTGATTATCAATCTGCCACTCCTTGAACCCATTCCTTGAAAACTCAAGCGATCCCACATGCTGTATGAAATTCAATCTAGGTTTCTCACATCACCATGCAACTGCAGCATTTTGGAGTGCCCCACAAATAATTCAAACTGTGCAACTAGAACAGAGTACAAAGAACATGGATTTTTGTGAATTTGCTTAAAAAATTTGGCATGGAAATGGCAAGTCCCTTGGAACGTTTTGTGTCTCCCAAGTTTTGAAACACTGAATTAGTTTACTATCTGGTATACTGCCCGTTTTGAATTTTTGTATGCAATTGCCCTCTTGTGATGGAAATGGAAAGCTATGACAGTAGTGAATTGAAATGCTTATGTTTTCATACTTTGGAATCACATGACGCTTGTGGCAACTGTTATTACAATCCTGCTGGAAAGGCAGTGGTTCTTGCACTAGCCAGTGATTTTCCAGGACACTTAACTTTTGTATTATGTCACATTTGTTGCTTCTACACTGGTGGGACTCTCCGACTGTCTCTGGCTGGCAATTCTTGAATTTTGTCTGCCCAGCTTCAGTCTCCTTCTCTCCTCTACATCTCTGTTAACTTGGTCTACCCATGGATCTTCTTCTACTCATCTTCATAGCCACTAATCTTTAGAGTTTTCTGTGCTCGTCCACTCTTTTAACTTGTCTGGACCATCTCAGTCTGTTTTGTTCAGTTTGGTTCTGTATTTCCTCCATCTTGAGCTTTAATTCTTCCTCTCCTGGTTTTCCACTTTTCCCCAGAGGAACGTCATATCAACTGCTTGTCATTTACTTTTCCATCTCAGCGCATGTCCATGTCTCTGTTCCATATAATAGTATCTTTTTGAAATGGTGTTGAATGTTATAATTTTACATTTCCTGCCTGTATCTTTATTTTTTAATAAGCTCTCACTAAACAGTAACGTTTTGAAGCCTTTCCAACTCTTATTTATCTTATTTTTAATGTCGCCACTTTTCACTATCACACTTTCCGAAATACACAAATTTATCTAATTCTTCCACGTATTTTCCATTTATTTTACTACTGTGATTTTTATCCAATTTCTTGATAGTTTTAACAGAAATATGTGGATGCTGTGCTTGTGCAGATGTCACATGCACATTTTTATACATTTTTTCGTAACAGAAACCGTTATAACCTACCACGTTCCTCAAACAGTCACACTGTTTCAGCAAACCTAAGAAAACCGATGACTGTTTCAGGGTGTTCTGTTTCTGATGCATCCGTGGGTTGCAGATAAGAGCAAAATGTCTTATTATGATGACAATTTCTTTCATTTTATTCGTTTCTTTTTTTATTTTCAGGAAGACGTACAGCACGGCATCAGTAGCCAGGAATGGGATACTGGAACCAATGCCAGACCTGAACTCCCCAGAGATGAAGTTCGGTGACATGTCTCTTGCTTCAAGGTGATTTTACCTGATTGATAGGTCATACTCATCTAACTAACACTACAGTAACTAACTAACTAACTAACTAGATGGCTTACGGAACCCGAAAGTTCATCCACCAGACCCTGTCCTGGGCCAACAAAATCCAGTCTCCTTCAACTCCTATCTCCCATAGATCCCGCCTGAGATTATCCTCCCATCTACGTCTAGGTCTCCCCAGAGGTCTCTTCCCCTCAGGCTTCCCAGTGAACACATCTTGCCCCATCCATGCGCTCCACATGCCCCGCCCAACTCATTCTCCTTGACTTAATCAGCCTGACAATATTGGCGCATACTCATCTAACGAACACTACAGTAACTAACTCCTTCATGCAAAGTCTTTCTTGAGAAGGTGATAGTGCACTCGCCTTCTTCAAAAGATTCATCATCATCATCATTGGTCGTACAGCCTTCTTCAAAAGATTCTTCCCTGTTCATATACAATTTCTTCCAATTCCTCTCTCTCTTTCTAGGTGGAAGACAGGAAAACTCCAGCGTGATTCAGTGTTGCGTGTTGTCGCGTGGGAGGAAGGAACATGGATTAGAGAATAATGTTGAAGTGGTTATTAGAATTTGAACGAGACTAAACTGGTGGAATTAAATGGTGGTCTTTAAGGGAGTGTCAGTGAAGTTTCAGGTTTCATAACATGTAACTTGTTACGGAGTACTCTGAACCATGAGACCCTTTTAATTGAAGTCTGAGTAAAGATTTTTTAATAAATTCAATTAAAATTTTGGTTTCTTGAAGGCATTTAAATAGCACACACACATTTGTAAGGAGGACAGCTTTAGGTACCACCAGGAATGCACCCACTAGAGAGGAGAGATTTGAACCCATAGTTTCTAGTGTTTGGTCACGTCAGTCCGTTGTGACAGAAGAAATGGATGTGTCCAGAAGACTTGCTGTTAATAGTTTTGCTTTTGTTTCAACAGGATGCACAGCGTTTTGCAAACTGTGCAGTCCTGCAGTGACTATGACCGCCTCGTGCAAGGTGTCTACGAGAACTTCCTCAACATGAGCTTCAGGGACAATCACCTGAATGCGGTAAGAGACGAACGAGGCGCCGCATTTTGCGCCCGGTTTAAACTGTACCATGTGACCGCAACTGTGCTGAAATGACGTTTAGTGTGATTTTGCACATTCTGATACAATATTCTAATTTTAAGAGCGCTTTTCTGCGTTATGTTGTTTCGTAGTACATTCTCATAATCTGGCTATGTTGCAGTACCACAGAATCTTGGAGTAGAGATGAGCAATTCAGTGATTTTTTAATAACTGCAGTCGTTATGAATATTATTCGAGCGTGACACATTTTACTGATTGTGGTCGCAAGTGAGTTCGGTTAGCCGCTACCCACAATTTGGAATTAAATTTTTTTTTGTTCATAGTTTTGTGAAATTATACTGTATCTTGCAACGTCATCATTTTTTCAGAGTTTGAGTTTAATATGAGAAACATTTTTTAATTTGAAAAGCTGTAAACGCAAGAGTGGTCTAGTTTCAATTTTTTAACTCTTAGAAATCTTCAGTATAAGAATTGTGAACATATCGTATCTCCAATAGTAGAAAAAGGTAAAAGACGCGTAATTGGCAACACAAAATTATTAACAATGTATAAATGTGATTATGATTGAGGCTCGTTAAAATTTGCTACATCCTATTTATTGTAGGTCATAGGTAAACCAAACATTTAACCCCTTAAGTGGGGGCAAAATTTATGCCATTGCATCACCAGGAGGGACATTTTTATTTCATTAAAAATAATGGTGAATTTTTAATATATTATGAACAATACATATTTATTAGGTAATGAAATAAAAATTTTCATGTTGTTTAAATTTTTAGCTATTTTACCAACAATTTCACCGCATTCTTTAAACATTTATCATTTGCTTTCCCCTGCTATTTCCATTGGATTTAGAGGAGTATTTCACGATAAATTCTTTTTAATGTCTTGCGGGACCTGCCGTCCGCAAAGGTCAAGAAATAATTAGGAGAAAATCATTATGCCGAAAACTGCTGTTCTGTCACGCGTGGTTGCCTGTTTCTCCCCAGCCATAAAAATCTCGGTGTTAGCGCTCATACTGCGACTAAGAGCAGCACCACTGAGTTTAAAAAAGTTTCGCTAGACGGCAGAACGCTCGATTCGGGCATGACAAAGCGTGCGCATGTATGAGCCTAGCCCACTGAGAAACGGTATATGCGGGCGTTAACCAACCACACATATATGAGCTTATCCCACTTAAGGGGTTAAGAGTCTAGCAATGAAGGAAGAAACAAACCGAGAATCGACATTTGTATTCTCAGAAAATTCAAATGTGCTAGAATATGGCGTGAGAAAAACAATCTACGGGGAGAAGAGAGCACCATCTATTTATTTATTTTTTATTTATTTTTCTGATAAATCTGTTAATTATGGCAGGGACCAGTGATTCCAATAACTCCATCGAGTTACTGGCACTGCAAGTACTTGCCGGTGTGACGTAAACAGCGTCTCGAATAATCCTACACGGCAGTTACCAGTTTCAGTGACATCTCAAGTGAATGACTGGTTTTCGGTTATTGGCAACTTCACTGCTTGCGGCTACTATGACTTCGATGACTGGTAATTCAGAGTAGAATAACTGGCATTAATGTTGTTTTTAGTGAGACTTATCAATATATTGCTCATCTCTAGTTAAAAAGAGCTTGCGTTCTAGCGTCGGAAAATGAGGTACCTTGAGTAGCTTTTAGTTTGAGCTGACTCAAAATTTTTGCTGCGTGAATTATCCATGAATGTGCCGGTCTAATAGAATAAGACTGTTTTTAATCGCGTGCTTCTCACTCGGTCTTGAAAGCAAAACCCCGCAGGTTAAAACAGGGACTCCAAACATTGACGTCACAAAGTTTCACCTTGTCAGAGGTGAAGGTAGAGAAAAATTTAATCTTGAACCCAAGACCTTTGGCAATGTTTCAAGCATTTTAATGTTAATGCAGGTTCAGTTCTTGGGTTGAAGCGAAACCTTTCAGATACCTGCCGCCAATATACTTTGTGGATGTCTATGACCATTTAACTGGCCGCAAGCTTAGGCATCCCTTGTGAAAGTATGCAGATAAATTTGAATACCCACAAAAAGAACTCAAGTCCCCCCAAACGCTTGTTATGTAGAAATGTGACTTGAGATTGTGATACGCAGGTGTCGCTCGGACTGGAATGGTTCTGCGCCGCAGACGTGCTGAGCCACAAGATCCACACGACGCAGAACTACGTTCTGATGCCGTATCAGCCATTTGGATTTGTGGCGTGGCACTTCCTCTTCGCCTCTCTCTCCTGGCCGAAGATCGCGTACCCCAGCGCAGGCTACGAGGTAATACTGTCTCCTGGATGTTACGCATTGCGCGTTTCTTGGCTCAAGATTTTCTCCTGTTTCTGCCCAAGATCCGTGGGTTTAACTGCGTACTCGTTCTCGAAATTATTTCAGACGGGCGTACGAAAAATATAATTCGAAGCTTCTGTGGTGACTGAACGCGATAAAATCTTCTCGGGCGACGACAGTCGATCGAGGTTTCAGGTTTTCACGGCGGTGACTAAGAAGGAGACTGCCTTCTGGGCTGTTGATGTTTACCGACGTTTCAGAGGTGCTTGCTGCCTCCATCGTTGAACTCTGATGACAGCCATCTTATCCGTTGTATGAGAGTGTACAGATGTACCACTGGGTGACACAAAAGCTGCGTTTCATTGCACTTGGGACGTGTCTGCTGTGTAGGTTTGTACAGTAGGCATGAGCCTGTTACAACAGGGCGATACACTTGATAAGTATAGAGTGGTTCAAGAAATGCGTACCCATTTTTAAATTGTGCTTTATAATGAACAAATTTCGAATTTTTGTAATTTATGGAAATTAGTATATTTGGCAGTAAAATGCTGTGCTGTTGCTAATGGAAGTTGCAGCAAGTAAGTTCTTAAGAGGGCAGAAAATAGGAGGCTGTCAGTCCGCAGTTGATTCTGTTCTACGGAACGTTCGCACCAGTCTCATGAGATGGACTGTTACAGCGTAAAAATTTCAGCACTGGTAAGTAAGTAAGTGGACCCCTTTTGGGGGAAGGGGGGAGCCACGGGGACACGGTCAATTCTTATCGTTACACAACTTATTTATGCCGCAGTCGGATTACCCGTCGTGGTGGATGCAAGATGTGCCAGGTCGCCCTTGGTTTTCTGCGTGAAACCTGTGGTCCCAGAGTGATTTATCATAGTTTTCGTAGATGCCGTGATCGTGGACGTGCCTGGCCACCCCAGACACCGGACAATAATCCGCGTCATTTCCTTCTGTGGGGCTACGTGAAGGACAAGCCGGGTTCATTAACGGAAGTCCGAGCAACGAACATCTAACTGTGCCTCGCGGGTGACAGTGAGTCGTGCCGCGGGTTGGGGACCGCAGTGAAATATAGATTTTGTGCAGCGCGGAAATCCGTAAACATTTCGTTCGCTGTTGTGTATAAATGTTGTTACTGTGTTATTAATTTTTTGAAATGAGGGAATTGTGTCTTGTGGATTTCCATGAGCTCCTTATGAAATGTTTTTCTATAACGTTAATACCACGGCACGCCCAAAAATGGAATTCGGCCCTCGAATATTCCTGGCCTTAAAAGAAATTCAAAAGAACGAGATGCACATTATACAACTTCCATTTTTTATTTTTTTAAAATTTTACAGAAATCTGTCAATGTCCAAAATATTCACGTAAATATTTTTGGTGAGACCCGTAATTAAAGGACTGGATGAAATTAAGTGAAGTGACGTGGCGGTCCCGAATTGTGTTATTAATGGAATATGCCAAGGGGCTCGAGTTCATTCATGGACGCGAGTGAACTCTGACAGTGATCAAACCCAATCCGGAATCAACATTTAACCCTTTGAAGCCGAAGATCGTCTTCATAATATTTACGAATCCAGACCGTACCGCGAAGAAAACACTTCACTTAACCATTAGAAGTCGAATCAGGCGGTACCACATAAGATTTAACAAAAGAACATCCCGGTCAAAGCCTTAA